CATCAAAAACGATGAGTTTGTGTCCTTTGTAGGATGATGGATGAAACTGGAGACCGTCATTCTCAGCAAAATGACACAAGAACAGAAAATGAAATACCACATGTTCTCACTCATAGGTGGGTGTTGAACCATGAGAACACATGGACACAGGGAGGGGAGCACTACACACTGGGGTCTGTTGGGGGGAATAGGGGAGGGACAGCGGGGGGTGGGGAGTTGGGGAGAGATAGCATGGGGAGAAATGCCAGATATAGGTGAAGGGGAGGAAGGCAGCAAATCACACTGCCACGTGTGTACCTATGCAACTATCTTGCATGTTCTTCACATGTACCCCAAAACCTAAAATGCAATAAAAAAAAATAAAATAAAACAGAAACAAAACCAGAGCAAGAAGCCTCAGAGATGTGGTTAGCAGCCCCAGGGAGCTATGGGGGCTTCCAGGAGGTTCCTGAGAACCACAGGGGGACTCCTTTTGCAGTTAAAGGGCCCTTATAAACTCATTTTTTCCCTGCCACAGAGAGAAAACTGCTCCTACCTCCTTGCCCAAGACCAACTTCTCTTAATCAAGCCTCCAGAATCCTCCAGGTCTCAAGAACGTTCCATTATATACAAAAAGCAAAGCCTATGCGTGAAGGGCAGTGTGGGCTGAGGAGCCTCCTCGCTGCTCCTCCAGGCCTGCCCTGATTTCCCAATAACAAGCCCCTCCTCCCCACCCCTCACAGTCCCCAGGAGAAAATTGCCTCCTGCACACAAGTGTCCCAGCCCCCATCCCTGGGCACGCACCCTGTGGATCATCCCACCCTCTCCAGGTGCAGCAGAAAAGGAGTCCCCACACCAGACTCCAGGCCCTTCCTTCCCCAGTGCTGGCTCTTTCCTGAGATGGGGGTTTTCAACGTCTCCTGTGGGGCTGCCCTGTTGCCTTCCACCCGGGAACACGTCCTGGGCCCCTTCCTCGAGCAGCTGCCCTGGATCCCAGCCTCCCGCCAAACCTCCGTCTTCCTTCTCCTACCCTCCCTCTTTTCTCAGGTAGCTGGGAAAGAGCCTCTGTGACTCGTGTGCATTCCACAGCACCCTGCAAGGTGGTCCCCACCGCCTGCCACTACCACTGGCTGGCCTTCCCAGTTCTCTCCTGGATGGGGCAACTCCGTGGACTCATTCCCTCTGGGGTCCTTGGCTCCTTGGCTGCTCTCTGGGGCCTCCTCACGTTCTGCTTGGTGAGGAAGAGTGTGACCCTGTCCTGCCCCTGGCTATGCACAGCCTTTGGTTCTGTCTCACCCACTCTACCAGTTGTGCCCCCTAGTGTGCTGACCCCAGAGCTGGGCCTCTGGGCCTCCTCCTGTGGGTCCTGAGGCCTCAGAAGTCTTGAGGTCGGAGGGGGTCCTCAGGTCTAGAGGGTCCTGAGGTCTGGAGGGTCCTGAGATATGAGGGGGCCCTGAGGTCTGGAAGGTCCTGAGGTCTGAGGGGGTCCTGAGGTCTGGAGGGCTCTGAGGTCTGATGGGGTCCTGAGAGGTCTGAGAGGGTCCTGAGGTCTGTAGGGTCCTGAGATCTGAGGGGATCTCAAGATCCCAGGGGTCCCGAGGTATGAGGGGTCCTGAGGTCTGAGGGGTCCTGAGGTCTGAGGGGGTCTTGAGGTCTCGGGGGTCCTGAGATCTGAGGGGATCCTGAGATCTGGGGGGTCCTGAGATCCGGGGGGTCCTGAGGTCAGGGGGGTCCTGAGGTCTGAGGGGGTCCTGAGGTCTGGGGGGGTCCTGAGGTCTGAGGGGTCCTGAGGTCTGAGGGGGTCTTGAGGTCTCGGGGGTCCTGAGATCTGAGGGGATCCTGATATCTGGGGGGTCCTGAGATCCGGGGGGTCCTGAGATCTGAGGGGGTCCTGAGGTCTGGAGGGGTCCTGAGGTCTGAGGGGTCCTGAGGTCTGAGGGGTCTTGAGGTCTGAGGGGTCCCGAAGTCGAGGGGACCCAGGCGGGAGTCGTGTGGGACTGGAAGAACCTCCCCCAGCCCAGAGCAGCTTCCAGGATCGCCGGTGCGTGTGAGGAGCCCGAGGAATAAGAAGAGCGGGGGGCTCTGGCCGGAACAGCCTGGGGCTCGGCACCCGGGGCCCGGCCCGCCGAGCGCCCGAGCTGGACGCGTGCCCGCCCCTTCCTCCGTCCCCACGCGCAGGCGGGCCGAGCGGCGGAAGGGGTCGACGTGGCAGCCTCGCGGGCCCCGGGGACCTCCCTTTCTCCCGGTGCAGGCCCCGCTAGGCTTCCTTGTGCTCCAGCGGCAGCGGGAGGCGGCCTGAGCCCCAGATACTCTGCGGCCCCGGCCCTACACCGCCCCGGCACCCCACAGACCCCGGAGGCGCTTCCAGGGTGCGGAGCTCGGGCTGGTGCAGCCCCTGCCGGCCGCGGGAGGCGGGGCTTCCAGGACGCCCCGCCCCTTGCCCGCCCCGCCCGGCGCGCGCGCCCCGCCCACGTCACCTCCTGCGCCTGCGCGCCCGGCCCGCTCCAGCCGCCTCGCATCCTCGGCCCGCGCCCAGAGCCCCGCGCCCAGCCAGCCCCGGCCCCGCTCGGCGCCACAGGCAGCCCGACTGCGCTCGAGGCGGGACGGCGCGGCCATGAGGCTGCGGGGATGCGGCCCCCGGGCCGCCCCCGCCTCCAGCGCAGGGGCCGGCGACGCTCGGCTGCTGGCGCCCCCGGGGCGGAACCCCTTCGTGCACGAGCTGCGCCTCAGCGCCCTGCAGAAGGCCCAGGTGGGTGCCCCGGGCGCGCGGCCCCCGGAGCCGGCGCAGACGCCAGGGATGCGGGGCCGGGAGGCGCGGCGGGGAGGGGGCCGGGGAGGGGCCTCGGGCGCGGCGCGGCCCTCAGAGCGGCGGCGCCTCCTTCCACGCAGCCGCCCCTCAGCCCGCGTCCCCGGCGCCCGCACCCGATGCCTCGGACCCCGCGCCGGCTTCCCGCCGCCCGCCCGCACGTCCTGGCCCCTCCGCGCCTTCCTCGGGCTCCCCGCGTCCTGCCCCTCCCCCGGGACCCCGCACCCGGAACCGGGCCCACCCCCTTTCTCTGCCTCCCAGGACCCCGACCCCGGCCCCCGCGGGAGCCTGGACCCGCTTTGCCGGTCCCCGCGCTCGTCCATGGTCCGGGCCCCACCCGCCCTGGCAGGCCCTGCGCGCTCCCCGGAGACTCCGGAGCGGCTTCCCCTGGACGCGGCCCGCTGGCGGGAGGGGACCGCGGCGCTGGGTGAGCCTCGTGTGCGGGCCTGGGCTGGCGCGCAGCCGGCGTGGGGCCCCTGGAAGGTTCCCTGTAGGCACACGGGGCCCCTGCTCTCTGCACGTCGCATTCTGGGGTGCGCGCTTCGTTCCTGTTGCAAGGGATGCTTTGTCGGGTCTGGCCTGTGACCGGGATCAACTTTACGCAACCTGGGCTGCCACGTGGGAGGGAGCGGTTTGCTGAGATCCTGCAGTGGGACAGTGAGGGAGACCCGGCGGCGCCGCGGGGAGGGGGCCTCTTGCTGCAGGAAACCACCGGGGACCTGCTGCCAGCTGGACTTGCGGTGGCCTGAGATCGCTCTCAAGAGGGCCTTTTGACCCCAGAACAATTCTTGGAGGCAGCCACTGCTTCGGCTGCCTGTGGGGCTGTCCCGTTTCTAGGGAGCACACTTCCAATTGTGAGAATACGATTTCCGGGAAGACGGAGATTTTTGAATGCGTAAAGTATCATAAAGAACACTAAAGTGAAAAGTTCTTGAGGCTTTGAGGTTGTCACTTCCCCAGGACGCCTGCTTTTGCTCAAAGCCCTTTGATGGGGCTGGTTCTCATGGTGTGGAAGGGGACGGTGAGCAGGAGGGCCCGATGGCGCCGCCCTCCCGCGGACACACAGGGTGAGGTCGTCCCCAGCCTGGCTCCCAGGCCCTGGTCCCCACCACCGTGTGTATCCGGAGCCGGACTCTAGGGCTGGGGCTGGGGTGGTGCCGGCCCCTCTGCCCGGGCCTCTGCCTGCTGCATGCCGACCCCGGCCGTGCGCTGTGCTTCTCCAAGTAGGGCTTGGGATATGGTGGTTCATCCTGTGCCCCTCATCGTTCCTCCTCACCCCACCCAGCCACCAGGCTCTTTCCCTGAGTCACTCTAAGCCCAGCAGGCTTTCTTCCTCCTGCGCTCTGCTCCTCAGAAGCCCCCTGGGTGCGCCGTGAATTTCCAACCCCTACTGTGGTTTCCAGGGCTTTCACAGCCTCACTGCAGCCCCAGCTCTGTCTTGGCCGCCTCAGGAGGCCTCTCCCTGCCTTTCCTGGTCCCTCCTGGCTCCCTGGGAGAAGCATCAAGCCCCTCCTCCCTGGAGGTCCCCGGAGGCCACTTCCGCATCCCTGTCATAGTTGCGGCCCCGGGTCAGTGAGAACACAGGGGCGAGCTGTGTTTTGTCTAAAAGTATGCGCCCACTGCCCTGGCGAGAAGCTGAGCACAGACTCTTCATGGTTTGGGAACAGATGTCAGGGCAGAGCCAGAAGTGCCCAACCCCTGGGCCTCCTTTCCTCCCGAAGTCCTCAGAGTAGCGAGCTGCTCCCAGTGGCTCTTAGGCAGGGCGTCACCGAGAGACTCCTGGTCTGGAGATGGGAGACTGAAGCTTCAAGTAGCTTTTCTCCCTTGGGCTGAAGCCAGGCAGAGATCCTGGCTTTAGGTGTCTCGGCCTCTCGGAGGGTGAGTTGCCTTGTATGTGCCTTGTTGCCACTTCAGAGGCCCCATCTGAGTAGTTGGGTGTATTTGAACATCCAGTTGCTTCTGCTGGATGTTGCAGCGTGTGGCTCAAGGCTATAGTTTGTAAATGTTCTCAAAGTTCTTTGCAGAAACGTTCTGGTTTTCAGCAGTCATTGCTCTGCAAAGCTTTTACTTTTACGTAAGACATTCTTGTAAAGTTTCCACAGAGTGAAATAGCCTATCTTTCTTTCCCAAATAAAGAAACCAGTCCAGTAGTGGCTGACACACTTGAACCATCAGAAACCCAGCTAAGTTCCCAGTTGAGATAGACCGGTGAGTACCTGCATTTACCTGTGAGCATTTGCCCCCTGGGAGGGGCTGCTGCGTCTTCGGATTAATGCCATGTGGGGACTCCTCCTCCTCTGGCCAGCCCATCTGTCATTTAACTACAGATTTAGCCAGGAGCTTAAGTACCTCTTTGGACAGAAAACAGCACATTAAGATCTGAAAAGAGGTATCAAAGCCATCAGGGTCTGTAACACATGCAATGTAATCCCCTGGCTAGAGCAAGGATGTTGAGTTTAGAACGGTGGTTAGTACGGCGTAGGGTCTAGGTGGATTCAGCTAAAGTTCTTCCTAGTCACATATTAATGTGTTGTTTTGAAGTCATGAAGTGGTTTTCTGTCACCCAGGGTTTTCACGGAACTCTCCTTGGAATCTGTGGCTGTGAGCATTTCCCGCCCTGGATCTGATGCATTTGCCCCATTTCCAAAGTGTGTGCAGCTCAGAACCAGAGTCGGCAAGAACTGACTTCCTGGAAAGCCTAACGCAGCTTGGAGCTGAGTCCTTGGACGGGTGTCGCGAGCTCAGAGCGGAGGAGGCTGCTCGATGCCCGCTTGCCCGCACTGGCTAATCCACAGAGAGGATTAGAGTGAGGGTTGAGTTCAGGGACAGATTCTGCCCCTCCCTGCCTGGTTGCCCTGCGTGGAATTTACCCAAAAGTGGGCCATCTTTTTCTCCACATTTTTATACAAATGCCTGAGTTGTGATTTGTTTTTAAAAACTCAGGAGCAGGACTCTGCCCTCTCAGCCTCACTCCTAAGTCCCGTGTGGCCACTGTGGAGCAGGAAATCCTGTGCCCTGCTACCTCGCCGGGCTCCTCATGCAGATGGCCATGTTTGCAGAGTGTTCCTGACCCTCGGTGCCCCCCAGACACACATGCGCAGGGATGGGGGATTCTCAAGCTTCTCTGAGCTGCTCCGGCTGCCCACTGGATCCCTGGGTGCTGCCTGCCTGGATTCAGTAAGATGGCTCTTGGCTCAGCCCCAGTGCTGTGCAGCGGGTGTGGAGGGGTGGGGTGGCCCAAGGAGATAACCCTGTAAGAGCACAGGGCAGTCACAGCCCATGGAGGAGACGCAGGAGAGTGCCTGTTCCTTGGGGAGGGTGGAGAAGGCCAGCCTCAGAGGCCTCGGAGACAGCACCAGGCCCTCGGCCCCCAGCCACCTTCTGATGATCTGGGTGTGGTGGCGCCAGCTGTTTTGGCCCAGTAGAGGCCCAGGGGTCATTTTCCCATGTCCTCGCCCCTGGTCACTGTCATCCTCTGTCCCAGGAAGAACAGGTAAGGACACAGAGGCCCAGGTGCTATGCCGTCTCCCAGGAGGGAGGGTAGCATGGGTTGGCTTAGCGTGGATGCCTGTCCTGACCTCACAAGGATCCCTGATCTTAGGGAACTGGCTTTATTTATTCTCTAAGTCACCGAGAGCGCTCCGGGAATCCTTTCTAATTTTCTGAAAGGATGCTCTCATGAAACCTATTTGTGGTTACCTTTGAAAAGAGGGAAGGGGGATTCAAAATTGGGAAAGATTTTACTTTTCAGTTTTTATAGCCTTCTGTCCTAAAACTTGGATTTCTAACACGAGTATGTATATGAGAGTATATGTTATACACGCGTACACACACATACACATAATGGCATACGTACACATATACATGCAAGTATACACATACATCTCAACATACCTGCATATGCAATCGCACAAACATAGTTTTGTTTTACAGCTGACAGCAAAGCACCATCAGTTCCACGCAGAAATCTGTGATTGTGGCGTAAAGCTCGTCTTAAACGGACACTGTCTTTGCACTCCTGTTTCACTGTGAGAAAGATCCCGTTGTCTTTATATTGTCAGCGCTCATCTGTGCCGACTTTTAAACTCTGCAGCTTCTGGTCTGTTTCAGGCCTCGAGTCTGGCGTGAGCCGTGGGAGCTGCTTTCTTTCCCTACAAGTGTGCCCTGCTCTGCGCTCTTCCTACAGACACAGCTTCCTTCTTCCCACATCAGCCCAAGTGAGGTGGCACCTTCCCATTCCCAGGCAGTGCTGACACCCAGGACTGCATCCCCTCGTCCCCTGTGTGGGGAGGCACTGCCAGGGGTGGGGGCTCCTGCCTGGGGACAGCAGCCTTTTCTACACCTCGAATTGACTCTTGAATTTCAAACGTCCCCTCTGTTCCTATGTGAATGGTGATCTTTAGAAAATGTCAAGCTGTGGTCACTACCTGCTTCCATTTCATTTGAATCGTTTCTTCCTGAGAGTGGTACTCTCTGCAGTTGAATGATCTATTTCTCATATAGAAGTGTTAGGATTTGGTGTCTACGAAAGTGGCCACTCAGAAGCCCTGCTGCAGGTGCCGGGTGCAGGACTTGACCACCACACTTGCTGGGTGTTTGGCCGATGGCCTGTGCCTTTTGTGCCCACATGGGCAGAGCGCCCTCAAGTGCTATGAGGGCCCAGGCAGCAGTGGAGAACACAGCTGTTGTCTGAGAAGGCATCCTGGGCTGTACTGTTTGGCTGTGCCTGGTTGGGAGTGTCCAAGCCAGACTTCCCCGAGGTCACCCATCTTGCTAAGCCATGTCCCTGTCCCTGACGCAGAGACTGCAGGCAGAGCCCTCCTGCCCTTCATCTTCCCGTTTCTAGGGCCCTCGTCCCCACGTGGCCCATGACTAAAGTGCCACGGTTCCCAGAATGTCCTGGGGCCGTGACCGCTCCCTCCCTGTCCTGTGGGCCTTCTGTGGGTGCCGGGGCTTGCTCGCCATTCCCGGTTCCTGTTTCTAGCATCTCTAGTGTAAACCTTTGATCTAGCTGTGGATCGCTCTGAAAATGAGCCCAGGCAAAAAAGTACGATGCTAGGCTTGTGTCTGGAAATAACATGATTTTCCAATGTGATCGACGTTTGTCCTTCTGAAGCCCAAGTCCGTGTGCGACCCCAGGTGATACTTTGTGCTCTGTTAACACAACGCGTCCCTGGCTTCTCAGCCATGTTCCAGCAGCGGGAGCTTAGGTGTGTTGAGGGTGAGGTGCTGTTCTTGAACTTACACACAGTCAGCCCTTGGCTGTCCTCAGTGTGGTCTCTGCTGTGCTGTGATTGGTGGCCCTCCGACCTCGTCCCCTGTGTGGGGAGGCATTGCCCGGGTGGGGGCTGGTACCTAGAGACAGCAGCCTTTTCCAAACCTTGATTTGAGTCTTAAACGTCACACTTCTTCTTAGAGCCAGAGAGGAGTGACTGATTTCCTCTTAAAAGTTATTTGCCACATACAAGCTTAAACAAAAGAAAGAAAACAATCTCTCTCCCAGTTCTAAATGTTTCAAAACTCTTGGGGTAGAACCAAGGCTGGGCCAAGATGCTAGAGGGCAAGTGTTCTGGAGCCGGGGGGCCTGGTGTTCAAGCACAGACTCGACCTCGGCGCCCCTGGGACAGTGGGGATGCCGCCAGCCAGGCTGGGCAGGCAAGGATCAGGGATGGAATGCCTGGGCTCTTTGTAGTGGAGTCTGTTTGCTGCAGCCTCCTAGGCTACCCCTGGAGGGCTTAGATCCACCTTTCTGCAGCAGTGAGTCACTGCCCCTATCAGGGAAGGGTCATGCTCACCTCTGCGCCATGTGAATCATCACTGTGACATTGTCGTGGGTCCTGTGCGTCCATCCAGCTCAGCACGTCCCAGCGATCTGGGTCATTTCTGCCTCCCCAACAACCGCCCCCCGGGCAGTGGCCTCCACCCCTCAGCAGCCCTCCCCCTCCATCCAGAGCTGCACATCAGGCTGGTCACTTCTGTCCCTCCTTGTGCTTTCAGGAGTGGACATACTTGCCAGGGCCCACAGCCCCTGCCCAGCACCGGGGGTCAGCCTTGCCCCAGAGATGTTACTGGTGGGCCAGGGGTCTCCCTGCAGCTGGGGGGAGCAGGATGTACTGGGTGGAGGGTCTCCCATAGCTGGGGCCAGGGCCAGGAAGTGCTTGGTGGGCTCCCTGGAGATGGTGGCACAGACCCACAATTGTGGGGACAGAGGTACTCCTGCAGCTTAGGGGAGTGGAGAGGAGCCAGGATGTTCTGGGGGGCTCCCTGTATCTGCTGGTAGTGTGGGGCAGGGTGTACAGGGCAGGCTGGGGACTCCTGCAGCTTTTGAGGGGCTGGGCCAGGATGTTCTAGTGGGGGAGGGGGTCCCTATATCTACAGGTAGTATGGGGCAGGGTGTACAGGGCAGACTGGGGGCTCCTGCAGCTTTTGAGGGGCTGGGCCAGGATATGCTGGGAGACTCCCCATATCTTTGGGCAGTTTGGAGTAGGATGGGCTGGGCAGGCTGGGCGCACTTGGAGCAGGAGCCCCTGATACAGGCTTTGCTGGGGGCAGGGCTGCCGCCGCAGGGGGCTTGGGAGGTGCTGTCCACCAGGGCCCCCTTGGCTTTCTGCAGATATTTTTTAAACAAATGCAAGCAGTTGGAAATGTCACAGATCCTGACTTTCAAGATTCTTTTTACTCAGACCGTGCAGAAGATCCGGGAGATAGGCACCTCAGGAGGGTCTGTCTCAGGGCCTGCGCTGAGTGGGAAGGGTGCTGCCTTGGGGAAGGGTCCCCTGAGGGGAGGCGCAGTTCCCCAGGTGTGGGTGAGGGTCCTGTTTCGGCTGGAGGTGGAAGGTGGGGTCCTGGCGGAGCGTGCAGGTGGGTCTTTTTGTTGGAATGGAGCCTGCTTCTCCTGAGCCCCCGTGCATGATGTGTCGCTGTCTGCAGTGCCTGCAGGGTTCCCAGCCCCTGAGGTCCTCAGCCACCAACAAAGCGAAATGCTGCTGCAACCCTGGGCCTGTCGGGGATGCACTCCCAGCTCCGGGATTGACGTGTGGAAAAGGTGCACCTTGGTCGGGGTGTGTGGGCTTTGGTTCACTTCACCACCTGTGGGCCCCATCGGAACTCTAGTCCCTCACTGCGGAGCAGACCCCCAGTGTCCTGGGATACAGCCTGGGGCTCAGGAATGGGCTGCTGAAGGGACAGTCTTAAGAAGCAGGCTGCCTGTCACTGCGAGTGCTTGGTGTTGGCGTGGCTCTTCTCTGTGAAGCTGTGAGGCCCATGCCCCTGCAGATGGCCCCAAGCTGCTGGGGCAGCAGGGCTGGCTTTTCGACTTTTTTGTTTTAGGCTGTCACTCACTGGGCAGATGAGGCCAGGGCCTCCCTGTGCCTGGCCTGTGCCGAGCCCCTCGTCCCCAGCATCTCCTATGCTTCTTCTCCCCTCAGCCTCAGGGACAAAGCACAGCCCTGCCCTCTCCAGCCTCTCCCCAGCAGCTGTGGTGTGGACCCTGCCCGTGCGCTGCCCATCTGGCCACGTTCTCATTGGAGCTTCTCCACTGCTTCTGGGGCTCCGGGGCTCCCAGCCTCGGAGCACGTGGGAGCTTGATGCCTTGAAAGCTGCCTTCCGAGGAATGTAATCACCGGTGTCCTGCCCCACGGGTGACAGCCTGTGGAAATAGGTCAGGTGTAACCGAATCCCTGCAGCCTCCAGAGAGGAACCCGCAGCCGGTTTCTGCTTTTGGAGCTTAGCCTGCGCCCACAGTGGAGTGCTTACAGCCCAGGGACACACTTCTCAGCGCTTCTGCTCCCTTCCCTCCTGTTTCTTCTCATGAGCACCTGCCGTGAGCAAGGCCCTGCCAGGAGCTGAGCCCTTGGGGTGACCAGACAGCCATGGAAGGGCCTCCCGGCCTGCAGCCTGGATTGCTGTGGAATCTCATGTCTAGAGTATGGGGCTGCAGGATGGACATGGAGGACCTCACGTGGGGACCAGAGGGACAGAACTCTAGCTGGGAGTCCCAAAAACTTCAGGGAAGGGGGATTCGTGCAGAGCTTCACAGGTGAGAAGGCATGAGGACTGTTTGGGAGACTGCGTGGGCAGGACCTGGAGGCCACCTTGGGGAGCAGTGGGTCGGCCCCGGCACCTGCCTGCCATCTGTCATCTTGAAGCAGGGACTGGGGCGTTGGCTGTGGTGCCCACATAGTCACCCTGCCTGGGCTATCTCTCCATGGGGCCTCTGCACTGTCTCTTTCAGATTTCTCAGCTGAGCTCGCATCCCCACCCCATGGCCTTTCCCCACAGGCCCACACCTGGATGCCTGTGTGTGCCATCTGAGCCGGGGGTGCTGCAGTCTCCGTCGGTCTCGTTCTGCCTGCATCTGGACACTCTGTCCAGAGCACACACGGCAGGTGCTCAGAAAGTGTCTGCAGAATGAGTAAACGTGTTTTCCTTCACACACCTTTGTACTCAGTTACTTACAGCAGCTGTGTGTGGGCATCGTGCCCTGTGCTGGGTCGCAGGTGTGAGCCAGGGCTTCAGGGCGCCCACAGTCCAGACAGCAGGAGCCCTGATGGGAGGAAGATTCAGGCAAATGCATAGGCCGTACCTAGCTTGGGGTGCCCGAGGGAGCCAGCCCACAGGGCACAGCCTCATTCTCAAAGTGACAAGGTGTCCAGGAATCTGCCTTTGTAGCACATGAGGTGAAGAGTCTGAGATGTGGCCCTCCCTGGGCACTTCAGCAAGCTGTGTCTTCTCGGGTGACTGCAGGGTGCTTCCCCAGAGGTTGGGGTACAATTCTGCAAGAGGCACAGGCACTGGGTGCTGCAGGGATAGAGAGCAACAGGGAGGCTCTCCTGTGGGGATGCTCTTGGGCTGGGGCAGTGTGACCCCCCGAGTGTCTGTGGGATGATGATGCTGAGCTGCAGAGAGCAGTCTCTGCTCCAGAGACACCCGCACCCCTCCAGGCCACATGCCAGGGGCCCAAGCAGTGTCGGTGTCACCCCAGGGTGCTACCTGCATGATGCCATGGAGTCCTAGTGACTACACTGGTGCCAGCGGTCCCAGGCCTTCCCTGTATCCTGGACTCACAGGGCAGCTGCTTGGGTGTTGGTGGGGATTTCCCGGTCATAAGGTGATATTTCGCAGGAATGCCCGAGAGCAGAGTGGCTTTGGTCCCGTGCAGAAGTGTGCAGCATCCCCGGAAGACGCCAGCGGATGGAAAATAGAGGGGTCTAGGAAAGTCACTGAGCTGTGTGGGGCTGTGGGGCAGATTTGCAAATTCAGAGGGAATTGCTGAACACACTTACCTAGCAGGCAACGGTGCTGAGGGTTCTGTTGAGGACTGCGGAGTAGCGATGACAGCAGCGTGAGATGGTGCGGCTGGTTGAGGGTTTGAAAGGAAAATAGTTCAGTTTTAGAAAAGCTATATTTAATTTTAGATGTGAGTGGGAGAGCAGAGAAGAAACAGCTTTATATATAGCCGTAAGCACGGGCTCTGGGGGAGCGTCTCCCGTCGGGAGGCACAGAGCCTCCTTGGAGTCACACGGGGTGGGGGCGAAAAGCTCCAGAGTGTGACGTTGCTGAAATCTCAGGTCAAGGAAACAATGGGTGTTCACCGGCCAGGGAGAAAATTACAAAGACACCCACTGCAGATTTGGCAAAAGCTTTATACACGTTCATGTAAACGAGCAAATTACACAACAGAAGTGGGAATACCCAGTAAAAATAAACCGTTCTCCTGATGAGACCGTCCCTGCAGACGTGGCCTGCACTCCCGGCAGCTCCTCCCACCTCCTGCAGGCCTCACCTGGGCCCTGGGCTCCGAAGGGAAGAGCCACGGCAATGCTTCACGATGCCAGTTTTTTGCGTTTCGCGTCTGCTTTCAGTATTGTAACTCAGAATTGATTGTGGGCATGATGGCCGATTCCGTATTTAAATGCAGCGTTTGATTTGGACCAGAAGGCATGAATAAAGGTGTTTTGGTGACTGGGGGAGACGGGAAAGGAGGGCGTTTCCTGCCGCTGCCTTGCTCAGTTGGTGTCTGTGGGTGCTGGACGGGAGTCAGAAGTCCCAAAGCTCCCGCCAGCTCTCATTTGCCGAGGGCATGCCTGCTCCCTCCGCTGGGATGCCTGAGAGAACTGCTGTGCTTTCAAAAGTCGTTCTTTCTCTAAAAGGAAAAAGCAAAATGAAATTAGATGTAACTTTTCCCTCCTGCCTGTGTCGAGAGCGGTCCTAGGACCTGAAGCCTTCCCAGGCAGCTCTGCTGAATCTGTGAAGTCTGTGCAGAGCCTCTCACTGCTCAGGGTCCTTCGCTCATCCTGTTTTGGGGGATTGTGTCTCATCTAAATCAGATGACAAATAGCTCGATTTCTGTTAATTCATAAGCAACAAGAGTGACCAAGATTGCTCCCTGAGTAGTGGGTCCAGCTCACCCCCTGCACCTTTAATCTGCTTCAGGAAGTCCGTGACCCTGTCCCCAGGGCCTCTCAGGGGAGTCTGGAGGTGACTGAGGCCAGACCCCCGGGGTGGCCTTTGAGGACGGCACGAGCTGGCCCCAGAAGCTGCCGTTCCCTTTGCTCCCGGAGGAGCCCTGGCTTCCCCAGTGGGCCTGCACATCCAGCGCTCCAGCTGCCCTGCCAGATAGGGGCCCCTCTCCCTGTTAGGAGAGCCAGCCAGCCTTAGTGGCCCCAGAGGCAGAAGGCTAGGAGGCCACCTGAGGGAGTGGGTGCTGGGTCCATTTTGGAGGGGGCCCAACAGGAGTTGGTGGCAGAGAAAGTGGGCCATAGGAATGGTAGTACCCTGAGAAGGGAAGGCTGGAGCAGGGCTGGGTGGGGCTGGGTTTGGGACATCAGCTGGCAGGGTGGTAGGTCACCCGCCAGCCCTGCATACCTGCGGGGACTGAGTAGCATCTGAGGGTGTCAGTGTGGGGGTATTGGCCACCATCCAAGGGCTTGAGAGTGCAGTAGTCGAGGGGTCCCAAGCTTGTGGATCCCCTGACACCCACCCACCTCCCCCAGGGCAGCCCCTGCACGCCAGCCACCCTGCAGCCCTGGCTCGTGCGCTGACCTGCGACCACCCGGGAAGGCTGCCCTGTTGTCCCCTCTGGCCTCACTTCCCCACTCGTACAAGGCTCTCCACAGTGGGTGGCTGTTTTTGCTTTCTGGGGTTGCACCAGCCTCCTGGGGCACACGGCTGCATCCCCTGGCGGGACTCTGTCTGCCTTCTCCTCCGAGAGTGAGGCGACCTTTGGGTGACTTGCGGAAATGCGGCCTGGCCTTACCCGTCTCTGCATCTCGCTCAGCAAACTGGCGTGCCGTACGCACTCCATCCTGGGTGGGTTATCTGGGGCTGGCTGTTAGACAGCTGTATTGTTCCTTAAACCACTTCTTCGGGTCCCACTGGCCTTTCCTTCTATTTGGCAGTGTCCATGAGCAGCTCCCGCTGGCTGCCTCCCAGTGCTCTGGGTTTTTGGACTGGGACAGGCTAGGGCCTCTGGGTGTGTCCCCTCAGCATCCGAGGGTGGCCGAGGTGCCTCTGTGCCCTGGGCCGCAGTGTCCTCAGGACTTGTGGGAGCCCAAAGGTCAGGGCGCTGGATGCTGTGGGCCTCAGTGCTGCCGCCTGGAGGCCGGCTTGGCGGGTGCTGGGCCTGGGAGCCCCTCACTGTGTTGTGAGCTCTCAACCCAGGCCCCACCTAGTGCATGACCTCACTCCCTAGTCACACACCTCTGCTTGTTCCCCTGGGACCGTGAGCATCGAAAATGCTCGGGTTGCAATTGAACATTGACCTGGTGGCACAAGGCACCAGCCCTGTGCTGCTTCTGACCTCAAATCACCCGCCTTGGGATCTATCCCTGGTGCCCTGTGTGGTCATCTCGCCCACCTCAGGGTCCATCCCTGGGGCCCTTTGTGGCTCGGAGCTTCTCTCTTGACTGGCTAGAGGAGCTTGTCACACAGGTGACTTCTGATTCACCTGTCCCCGGTGGCACCCTGGGTGGTATCTTGCCCTGCTGCCACTAGCAATGAAATCCGCAGCCTGGGGCCACCTTTCCGATCGCCCAGCCCATGTGCTCAGCTCCTGGGACGCCTGGCACCAGTCTCAGCGAGGGCCTCCCTTCCCTCCAGCCCCCCTGAGGTGCCTTGCCCTGAGCACAGGTCGTACCTGGGCTCTTGGTGGAAGAACTGCTAGAGAGGTGCCCCAAGGGGTGTCTCCTGCTGAACCCCGGCATCACCAGCATCCTCTGCCCACACGGTGCCCTGGACGGGTCATGACAGGAGGTCAGTGCCCACCCTCCATGCACCTGCTCTTCTCTTCCTGTCTTGAGCCAATGGAACCTCTCAAAGGAGCAGGGTGTTGAGCCTTCTGAGACACAGGAGCACCTCCCAGGGCTCACTGGAAGGGTGGGCCCTCCCAGTCAGCCCAGCCCAGTGCAGGTTCTTTTGGCAGCGAGGTGTTTCACCAGAATCAGTTTCACCTTCCCCAGAACCCACCTTTCCCAGTTCCCACTGAGCACCTCCCTCCCTCCCTGGCTGTGCAGCACCTGGGCTCCCGAGCCATGCTGTGGGATGAGGGCCATTGGCCCTGGCCCCTCGCTCCCGGGAGCAGCCCGCAAACCCCACCCCCATGCCTTCCCTCCCTTCCTTTTCCTCCCAGTCTCTGGGTCTCTTTGCCTTTTGGTGTCCTCCAAGGATGGTGTGCAGGGATGGAGTAGACGGAGCACTCACTCTGTGAGCACAGTCTCTCTCTCTTTTCATGAATGAATCGGAAGCATCTGAGCAGCAGAGACGGCCGGGATGAGGCTGCAGCAGCCTCTGGACAGCAGGTGCCTGTGTGCGCTGCTGCACACCCTCACCATGGGAGGAGTGGACATTCTTTCATAGATCTGCAAATGCACTGTCACATATCCTGTGGAATCAGGAGAATTTTTTTCTCCGCAATCAAAGCAGCAATGTTGGCTGCACCTTCAGGAGGAGCATTCCTGTGAGCTGCCTCCACCGTGCTGACCGTGGAGCTTAGGAGTAGCTGGCGCTCAGTGTCTGCCCCTACCGCCTGTGTTGGGTGACACAACCCCACACCCTCCAAGGCTCCAGGCCCCCCTCTTTTGGGCAGCCTCCCCCACCCCCACCTTGTTGCGGGTGCACTGGAGCTCCTCTTGCTGGCTGGGGCACTGCAGCGTGGCATCTCCAGCACTCGGGCTTCAAGGAGCTGTGATGTCGCTGGGCGCTGCAATGGCATGTGTGCACATGAGAGGGACCACATGTTCTCTGGGGACCTTCTTGTCTCTGGGTTTAGCACTGAGCGTGAAACGCCAGGTGATGCTGGGGCCTTGAACTGCTGACGGCTCTGGTGACCTTGGCAGAGATGAAGGCGGGGTTTGCCAGCTGCCTGACGTCAGGGAGCTGGGCCTGGGCATTGTGAGCACCGATGCCTTCACTCAGACTTCTCGAGAGTTCCAGG